AGAAGCCAGCTCTGTAAGAGTTGTATATCAAAGTACCTTTCCGTGTAAGGTGCATATAGGAGTCAAAGGTGAGAAATGTACCCTCTCTCTTTTGTTTTTAGTGCCCCTATCATGTCTGGTGTGCCTTAAATCTTACCTTTAAATGAAGACTCTGTGGATTGTTTACAGATGAAGTTTTACACTAGGACCAGATCGCCCATACGGTTGGTCTTCTGCAGTAATAATGCTAAATTCTCTTTCCTTTTAAATTTTCTTTTAGGTTCACATAAGATTAATTCTTTCAGAAAAGCTAATGCTTTGGTGCATGACTTAGTCTAACTTATTGGGTAATGCTGCTTCAAAAAAATAGTTTGTCCTTCTCCTTAATCCAAAAATGAATCCATTCAGTCAGAAAAAAGGATTGCCCTGCAATTTATAGATAATTTCTAAGGCTTGAAATAGGAAAGAAGGGATGGAAAATCTCCAAGCCCAGTGGTGCAGTGAATCCTCTGTTTTTTTGAGTCTCTTTTACCCTTATTTCTGAAGGTGGTGAACTTTCATTGTCCTGTGGCCTCAAATTCATAGAGTTTTTTAACTGTTTTGTACCTCAAGTTGTTTTTGCATATCGTTGAATATTGAAATCTACAGATTATGTTTAATTTAACCTTTTTCCCTTGGAGAAATTGCCTCTGATATCTTTCTAACTTAATCTTAGCGTGTTTTAGAACAGTTTTCCTTACGAGGACAACTTCTCAGTGATCATGGTAGTTATTCAGTAAGAAACTTGCCACTGTTAGTCAAGTAGATGTATGTCCTGTCCTTCTCTGATTTCTCTGACTTAATTTGCAGTGATATCTTAGAAATGGAAAAAGTATCCTCTGAGCTTTTAGACTTCCAGCAACAGCAGCCAGTGGGGCACCTTTGAGTTCCAGTGTGTTCTAGTCCTTTGTGTGTCCTCAAAGGCAGCAAGAGTCCGTCTCGGGTCACACTGGTGTTTTGTTAAAGCAGAGTTTCCTGCATGTTTTATGGTGCTGCTCTAAGATACTCTCTACCTAAAACTGTGTTAATTCTTGGAGAATGAATTTTTCAAGCTTTTCATTGTGGAGGGTTTTTCCCACTAAGTGGTAATGGGCAATGGATCAAAACCCTGTCCTGAATAATTGAATTTTCAATGTAATAGTCTGTGAAAACATCACTCCCTCTCCTCTGTGTCCATCTCCTCAAAAGTTCTATCTGTGTCTTCATCTGCCCCAGCACATATTTTGGATCCTTTAAAGGTGACCATTCCTCCTTCCTCAATAGGTGTCTTCAGTGTTCTCTAACCATTTAAAACAGAATTTGACAAGCGGCTAAAAGCTCACGTAGTCTGATACTTGTACTTAATATATAGTTAATTATAGAAATAGCAACTATTTAAAAAATTACTCTGTTGACTGCTCTTTAAAACCACACTTGTATGCCAGGAGGCAGCAGCCTACACCATTGGACTCTTTACAGGCAACCAACCAACAGATCGCGGTGGACGAAGTTGTCTCGTAGTCTTGCCCAGCCTGGGCTGGGTTATGGGGAGCACTCCCTTCAAAATGATTCAAGCTTCCACAGTCCAGCCCAGGTCCAGTCTGGCTGGGGAGCATTCAGCCCATGTCTTGCCGCAGTGCCACCTTTTTCTGGGCAAGTAGCCAAGAACGGACTATAAGCAATGAGTACTTCAGATAAATTTACAGTTATAGTTCTTACGAGTGGAGAAGGTTGACCATCACTAATTTAATTCTCCAGTGTAAAAGCAATCTAGAGTAATGTGTGCACGTGCCCACACATGCCTGTGCTCTGGGGAGCTCTCGCATTGATGGATCCATAGGCATCTGGGCTGCACTTTGAATGACACACTTGTGGCTTTATTAGACTCACTGTTGTTTTTTTAATTGTTGTTTGTTTCTTTTCATTAAAGAAAGGTTTAATCAGATCAGACAGCATCATTTTATATTTAATGACAGAAACTTTGGGAAATTACCTTTATTGATTGAGCTCTCATTGTGAAGCAAGAGCCTACAAAAGGCACCTGTTGGAGATGAAAGCTCTGGCTCTGGGGGCCAGCAGCACTGTGTGGAGTTTCAGAGCAGCCTGTGGTCGCTCCAGTCAGTGATACCTAGTTGTGTAGAGGAGAGGTACACTGTGCACTCTTCTAGGTGTGAGGGTATGCAACTTTGGATTTTAAAATTATGTACACATACACACTTTATATATATGTATGTATGTATGTATGAAAACAAATTAGTTTGTCAAAAATGTGTGTGTTTAGTATTTTAGCTTAGTGCAACTATTTCCACATTATTTATTAAATTGATCTAAGACACTTTGTTGTTGACACCTTGAATATTAATGTTCAAGGGTGCAATGTGTATTCCTTTTAGATTGTTAAAGCTTAATTACTATGATTTGTAGTAAATTAACTTTTAAAATATATGTGAGCCCTTCTGTAGTATAATAGGGCTCTTTCAGGGTGGGAAGGATTTTAATTTTCCAGTTGTTAATTGAACAAAATGGCCTCATTATGTATTTTGAATTATAGGAGTTTGCCTCTGGGTCCCAGAACCATCTACGGGGAATGACTCTTTTAGGCAGATTATGATTTTGTTTTTTAAACCTAAGTAAATTGGGAAGCAAAGCATTTCAAGTCCATATTGACTCCTATAACTCATATTCCCTAATTATGTGAAACAGCTCTCATTTTAATTTCAGGTATCAGTGTGTTGGAGAGGCAGACTTTTCCCCAATAATAAGTAATATTGCACATCTAAGATTGCTATTCAGTAAAATAAATAGAAGAGATAAGTATTGAATGACTTGACATATGTAGTGACAAGAGGCCAAAGTGGTCATGTTTGTGAGCAAAATTTCACATACTCACTAATGGAGAAATTCAGTTTAGACCCCTAGACCCTAGAATCAAGCTGGCAAATGACAGGAAATAAGTTATTAATAGTTGGTAAAGCAGATGCTGATTCTGTTCACTTGAACCCTGTGATTAATTAAAAAGAACTTATTCTGGAAAAGCAAATGGAAAGAATATCTAAATCTCCTTTTTGATGGAATTTGGTCAGAGAATAAAGCATTAGAGTTAATCCTGAACCAAGTCTTATAGTAGTTTAAGCCTTCTAAAATGAAATCATCAGGTAATGAAGGTGACTTTCAGGAATGTCAGCATTGACCTCTCCTTGCCACCTTTGCTCAGCTAAGCATAAATTGCTGTTCTTAAGAAGAAACAAACAAAAAAAGCTCTCTAAATGAGCATGGAAGAAAAGCTCCCACCCAGAAATTCTAGTAATACTCAGTTTTGACCTCTTACTGCTTCCACGTGGGGTTTCTTTTCAGCTTTTAACCACTGGAATTTTCTACCTGCTATGTTCCTCTTGGGAAAATATCTATTTGGAAATGCTGCCTTTCAAATCAATGCCATGATTTATCCATACTGTTGAGTTTGTTGTTGCTGTTCAAGAAGTGTCCCCATTTTACACCTTTATGCACACACCTGGCACATCATTGACATGAGCATTCAACAGTACTGGGGGTGGGGTGGGGTGGGGTGGGGCGGGGCTCACCAACAGAGCTGGCCAAATTGGCAGTACCTGAAAAGGCACTGCCTTTGAGGACCAGATGTGGGGTTGGTAAGCACAGTTATGAAAATTTCTATCTAGCCTCCGTTTTGAATGGTTTTAAGAAATTTTGTATATGGAGGATGGAAATGCTTATATATTTATTGAAAATCCTTTTATCTTATTTGAAATTAAAATTATTTGGTGAATAATGGTTTGATATTTGGGGAGGGTTTTGGAGGGGAGGTAAGGCCGCTGATCAATTAAAAGCCTTGTTGATTCTACAGAAAGGTACTGTTAGTGTTTGTTAGGATGCCTTTGTTTTGTACATGATCCAAATCTTTGTTTTACATTTCTTTTATCCAAAATATTTAGGCATCTGACATTTTCAACCAAAATTTCAATTATATACTGTGATTTTTATTTGTTGCAATACGTTAAAATTTCAGAGGTACTTTGGGGCTCAAAAGCTAGGATTTCTAAGTCAGTATGTGCATTTCACATAATAAAGCTGTTAATGGTGAGCAAAGTATTATATACTAACTAGATTTTTCCACATCTGTATAGTATATTATATGTATTTTGTGGTATTGAGATTATAGAAAGTTTAGAGTGTCAAACATGCGTTTAATGTGTATTTTTAAACAAATTTATGGCAATTAAAATATTTGGAGACAAGGGTATCACATTTCAATTTGTAAAGATCTTTTTAACTCTACTGTGTCATTAAGATGCTTTGTATAATGCCAAACCATAGCTGGAGAAACTAAGTTTAATAAATATCAAATAGATTTTCTGTATTAAAGTTTATAAACACTGTGCTCTTTCCACTTCTTCAACTCTGACTTTGCCCTTTTCATGTAGGTTCTGTTTTGTACTTTAGGGCCCAGTGCTACTCTTCTTTAAAAGTCTGGTCCCACCAGTTCAGGTCTCATTTTCTGATTACAGAAATTCTGAACTTGCTGGCCATGGGTCCTTTTGCATAGATCAAAATTTGCCCTGCTCCAACAAAAATCCCAAATCCTTTTTGCTGCTGTTGGTGGCTTGGGGTTTTGTTGTTTCATTAAACTAGATTTTTCTTCCAGTTCTGCATTCTGTTCAGTCATAGACAAGGTTGGGCGCATCACCAAGTAGTGGGTGCCAACATTGCCCTTCTTTGACACCTCACTGAAGAGTTCTTTACATGAAGTGAAGGACTAAGATCCAGGGTCACAGCTTATGAACTTGCCAAGGCTGATCACATAGCTATTACTAAACTTTTGCCTTTAGCCTGCCTTGTGTTTTTTATTTCTTAAAAAAAATGTTAATTCTCACTATGCTTTCCAGATTGAGAAGTTAACACATCATGATTAGGCAATGCTGTTCTTTTCTATAGCATACAAATGAATCCTCCTTTCCCTCAAAACCTTGAATTCCAGACTGCCAGAATTTCCATTTGAGACATTTAATAGTACACATAAAAAAATAAACTCTAAATTGACAAATTTAGTTATGCTTACTACATATCAACATTCTAAGAAGAAACGGAGACCAATTTAAAGCATACATCTGTCTTTAAATATTAAAAACACGATATTGCTTTACTTAAGTGTCTCCAGCCAAAATGCAATTAATCAGTATTCCATAGAATGGAGCATTGTTGTAGGTGAATGCTGTCTTCTTTTCCCCTGGTATGGACATCATTCCTGGGCCACACTTAGGGAACAGCGTCTTTTTCTAAGGAAAGAAAAGGTGGTTTTTAAGACAAAGGTCTAGCAGTGCCGAGCCACCTCTGTTGCATTTCCTCCCTCTGCTTGATCTACCCAGTCTTGGGGTAGACCGAAGAAAAGAAAGGCGTCATTTTTTCATGGTACCTGTGTGCAGCTGTTCTTGGCTCTTAACTCCTGAGAGGTTCTGCTCCATGGAGCTCCCAGCTCAGCCCAGGCAGTCCTCAATCCCAGTTTTATTCTTAGGCCTGTGTGTGTGCTGATCTCTCCTCTGCCCAGCTTCCCAGGCCTCTTTTGCCCAGCCCTGCTCCCAGGTTTGTGGAGTACCTGCATAGCCTCGTGATACATTCAGAATCGTCCCGACAAGAGGCTCCAATGGGCCTGAGGGAAACTGCTCTCCAAAATGGAGTCATTCTCCGTGGCCTTCTCTTTGCTGAACTCAGTTCTGGTATTGGGGAGCCATCTACCTGGAGGGCAAAGACAAATTCACCTCAGATATAGAGGAGTTGACACCCTGCTGCACGCCTTGGAAGAATGATCATCCCCAGGATGCTGTCGACTCAGAGCAGAGGAACCATTCCTCAGGACTGAGTCTTGCTCTCAAGTTCTGCCTATAGTTCCACCATCACCACACATCCACATTGATGTCCTCCTTTCCTTACCTGGCCCCACAACAGCAGGCAGATCATGAGCACTGCGGAGAGTTTCAGGTGCCACATCTTGACAGAGGGAGGATATGGGAACTCAAGACCCAGGAACAGTTCTCACTTCCCTTTATAGACTGAGATCCGCCTCTTATGGTTGCCGGGTGAGATGGGGGCAAAGTTTATATTTGCAATCAGGGTCGATTTAATAAGTTAATGTCTACCAGAGGAATGTGCTCAAGGCCTGCCTTTCAGGCACATTGCTATTTACTGATCCCTCACCTGGACTTTGAATTATGTTGCTGGCTTGGACCCTTTTCGCCCGTTTTACCAAAAGTCAGCACTACTCCCTCCTTTCCCTTTGAAAGCCACGTGAAGCCATTGAGGGAGACCAGGCACCTAGCCATATTTTGATTCCAAAATAGCTCAGTGAGATCACTCTAATCAAAATAGAATTCAAATAATGAAGTCTTCAGAAAGTGTTGAGTCTTTCAGCCTTGTCTAGGAAAGCAGCACTGATCTATTGTGTTACAGGCAACTGGAGAAGGCCCATTATCTCCTTTCTGTGGGAGGACGCTTCAGCACACATGGTCTGCAGTGCCCCAGATACCTCATTTGTATAGATGGACTGTCGCTCAGCCTGCTCCGGGTCATTTCCCTAGAATGGAGACCTAGCTGTGGAAAGGTCAGTCTGGCCTACCCGTCCTCTCCCAGGGGAAGGGCAATCAGGACTGATGTGAGACTTTCTTGGACTACAGGTGAATTGAATGAATAAGTATAGGCTGGTTTTTTGTTTTGTCTTTAAAAACATGAATAAGGAAGTAGCAGGGGCTCCTAAATCAGTAGAAGAGCATGGTGGTGGTGACAAATCATTGCAAGCCTTGAATTATGGCCTTTCCTCCCAGTAGTTGACTAGGATCTTCTACGAAGCATATCCCAGTAGCCTCGGGGAAGCAGACATAGGGCTGAGATATCTCCAAAGCTCAGAACATCCATTGGCTTAAGTAGGAACTCCTGCAGGTTTCTAGATCAAGAAAGGGCATGTATCTAAACCATGAGTAGTTATGAGTACTCATTAAATGACATGGACATTTTAATAAACTTGGGGGGAAAAGTGTGAATTCTGAGTAAGGAGATATAAAGACTAGATCGTCCCATGACCTGGAAGGATACGCCAACAAAACAAATGCAACAAGATTCTTTTTCTGCCTGGTGTCTCCCTGAAAACTTAGCTGATAGCCCTTCCCAAGGTCCTTCTCATCTTCAGAGGTTGCATATTTGGTAAGAGGCTGCCTATTCCCCAAGGAAAAGTGAGGAGATGCAGCACAGCTGAAGGTGGAACAGGATGGTTACCACTGCTCTTGCCAAGGGAGAAAAGGGTGGTATGGTGGACCTCAGAGTTGGGATTGGGCACAGTGTGACTCCACAGATCTGTCTGTCCTGGTTCCAGTCCTCTCAGGACCATGCAGCCAGGCCTGGAAGGAGACAGCACTGTTTGCACTTTAGGAACATTGAGAAGCAGACCTATGCCAAACCCAATCCTGCAGTTTGAGACTGGCTAGCTGCTCCTTCCCTTTACCCCTGAGCTTGGATACTAAATGACCCCAGGTAGGAGCTTAATTAGGAACTTTTGTGGGGTGGGGAAGAGGCTATGTGGTGACCTAGAGAACATTGGGTAAGAACACAAATCCGATTAGATAAGCAAAAGATTGAACAACGTGGTGTCCTAGAGCCAGTTGGGTCTGTGGACTCAGTGCCAGCCTCCCATTAACCAGCCTGGAGTGACATGCCAAATGAGATTTGGAAAATGCTTGTTCTGAAGATGGGTACTTTTCACTAATCCTCCATTTCTGTCTTCCTGTACTCCAAGCAAAACCAAACCAGACTTTCGTGTTAATTTATAAAGCCAATACCACAGCCAAGGGCAGGGCCTGAGGTCCCCAGCTCCCTGTGCATAGGGCAAAAAAGAACCATTCATCATCATCAAGATGACAACACTGCAGAAGCCTTTGCGGCTCAAGCCTCTATCTTATATTGCACCCCCTCCTCCCAAAAGACCCATTAGTGACTGCCTGTGGAAGGAACCACTGTTAGGGAAGGTATTTCAACAGATGTCTACCCAAACTCTGTAGTTGTTTTATTTAAATTAAACATGGAGCAAAAAATCAAATTTTTAAAAGCAAAGCAGAATCCAGACAGCATTAGGCTGAAGTGACAGCAGTTGTCCACAGTTTCCCACACTCTAGCTGTGAAGACCTATTCCTGAAGTTAAAAAAAAAAAAATTGAAAATATCTGGGCTGTCTGCAGTCAAGTATTTTGTTGAATGAACAAACAGACAACTACATGTTCCTTCCTCTAGCAGAAAGGGCCACGCAGGCTTTAACAACTTCAGCCAGAAGGAGAAAGAATGCTTGGCTGGGAGGCAGGAGCCGGGGGTCTAGGTAGGGGAACTGACCACAGGCCAGCCCTTCCCCTCTTTGGGCTTTAGTCTTTTGTCGTGCCAAGGAGATGGGAGTAAATCTCTGAGGCCTCTCGGGCACTGACATTTGGGAGTTCAGATGATTAATTTACAAGAAGAAAATGAGACCGAAGCACATTTGATAGCTTATAGCTTGGTAACTCTGAATACAACTCCCAGGGATTTCCTGCTTCTGAGGCAAGTGCCTAGGATGAAATGGGAGAAAGACGGTATAGCTACACGAGCAGCCGTTTGAAACACATTCCAGGCAGAGAGGAGATCATTAGGGCTTGGCAGTAATTGGAAACTTTTTGCAGTCCCTGAGCAGGAGGTGCCTAATAAAAAATGAAAGACTGTGAAATGGAAAAAACTTTTCCCCGTAAAACTTGAACAAAGGGTTAAAGTGCATTTGCTTTTTTGCTGGCTGGAACTGCCATAGACTTCTGGGCCTGCACTAGGTAGGCCTGCATCTCGGGGACTGCATTGGCAGACTGAACACAGTTCCCTTTGCCACATTCTGTAGCCCAGAGATAAAAAGCCCTTGTGGGGCAAGAGCACTGCTGGGGAAAAGAAGGGCTAAATGAGCAAGTGGTTGTGCCCCAGCAGCAGGTGGAGGAGCCACTCCAGGAGGGCGGCTCCAGGGGATGGGTGACAGGCGCTGAGGCCCACAGCGGCGGTCCCTCTTCCTCCCTTAAGAACTTTACACAAGTTTTCCTTTTCTTTTTGGATTTCTACAGACAGAATAGTCCCTAAAATGATCCCAGATCCCCTATCACGTACAGGAGCACTGAGCTATTACAACTCACCACATTCCATGCCCCCACTGCCTCAGTGCCCCGCTACAGAGCTCCCTGCCCCAAGCTTAGAGAGGGAAGCCCTTTGGTGAGAGAGAGGCTTAAAGCAGCCTTTACCAATTTTATCCAAAAGCAGCAGCTCAGCACATGAAGGGCTTACAGCAGGGTCTTCTCAGCAGGGCACGCCTGGGATAAAAAGGATTCAGACCAACAAGCTCAGTCCTTGGTCTGGGCTGAGAAAGGGTAGGTTTGATTTTGAGCTGGTATTTCCAAAGGAGTCAAAGAACGAGGGAGAAATAGTCTAAAGGTAAAATGAAGTCAAGATGGGAGTGGATGGCCATCTCCCCTAGGAACTTGGGCCTAAAATCAGAGGGAGACAGACAGAAAGATTAATGGCCTATCAAGGCAGTGGTCCCCACCCCAACACGTGAATCTGTTGAAACTATGCAAAGTTAAGGATGGGTGTATTTACACTTTCTTCAGGTCCACAGCTTTCATCAGATTTTCAAAGGAGCCTATGACCAAATATGTTGCAGACCAGGTAGCTAGTCCCAGTAATAAACTTGGACAAAGAGCCAAACAGGAAAATTGGACCATGTTTGGTAGGGCAAGAGTTTTCATCATATAGCTGTCCTTTGTTGAGCCTGCACCACCCTGCCAGACTCTTACATATCACCCATTTCACTGTCACTGCAACGCTATGGCTTTGTATTAACACATCTATTTTATGGGTGAGAAACTCAAAGCTCAGGAATGCAGATTTCTTGCCTGTATCCCACAGTAAGGAAGCATCAGTCAAAGGGTATGGGCCAGGGCCGCCCCCGTGGCCAAGTGGTTAAGTTCGCGTGCTCCGCTTCGGCGGCCCAGGGTTTTGCAGGTTCAGATCCTGGGCACGGACTCGGCACTGCTCATCAGGCCACACTGAGGCGGCATCCCACATACCACAACCACAGGCACTCACAACTAGAATATACAACTATGTACTGGGGGCCTTTGGGGAGAAGGAAAAAAAAAAGAAGATTGGCAACAGTTGTTAGCTCAGGTGCCAATCTTTAAAAAAAAACAAAGGGTACAGACCCAAGTCTGCCAGACTCAGCCGTTCCTCCTTATCCTGCCTCACAATCAGTGCAATTTACCTTACTGATTTTTTTTCTAGTTTTGAAGTATTTTAATTTTGGTTCCTAAAAGGCAACATCAATCATTAGAATAAGGATAGATACAGCCTGGGCTAGAAGCTGAGCTATACTGTGGAAGTTGCTCTGGACCAGCAGGAAGTGTCCTTAGGAGAGAAGTTTCTAGAAACAGAGCAGGGAACCAGAAGCTTAAAGCTACCCCTACCATTTCCTAGTGAAGAGAAAAGGGTAACTTTCCGACTAAAAAGGCAGTTTCAAAGTTCTCTAAAACAGGGGTAAACTTTTTCCATAAAGGGCTAGAGAGTAAATATTTTAGGTTCTCAGGGCCACATATGGTTGAAAACAACTGTTCCAACCTGGTACAAACACAGGCAGTTTGTTGACTCCAGCTCTAGAGGCCAAGGGGTCACCTCACCCACTCCTTTATAGCTGACTTCCCCTCAGGCTAAGGCAGGCCTGCCTTAGGAGGAAAGGCAGCATAGCATAGCTTTAAAAGCATAAATTTAGCGCCAGACTCCATGATTCACTAGCTGTATAATTTTGGGCAAATAACTTACCCTTTCTGCACCTGTGTTCTCATCTGCAAAATGAATGTAATAATGATACTTACTTTAAAGGTAGAAGTTTAAAAGAGCTTATTTGTGTGAAGGGCTAAGAAGAGTACCTGACACACGGTAACTACAACATAGTTACTAGACTTTATTGTTACAGGAGCAGAGGGGCGGGAACCAACACTCCCCACAGTCCAGGCCACCCACAACTGCTCAGCTGCAGGGGGAGCTGCAGCTACTTTCTTGCAGGTTATGGAACAAGGGGTGAGCCCCAATCCTTCACCAAACTCCCAGGCTGGCCGAAACTGTTCAGCACTCATGCTGGAGAGGGGAGTTCATGAACTCGAAAACTAGCAGTCATGCCAAGGACTCTGCTCACAAAAATGCAAAACCACAACAGTGCAGCCCGTAGAAGTTTATTGTGCCTTCCAGATGCGACAATATAGGCTCCTGTCCCAGAAAAAGGTCTTTCAAAGAAAGTGAACCATTATCCAGACGAGTTGCTCATTTGTCATTTTCGTAGGCAGCTGGATTCTTCCTCTTGGATTTCTCAAACTCCTGGGTCCCCCACGTATAGACAAGATAAAACGCTACAAATGCTTTAAAAATCAAAAGTGAGAGTAGGCAGTGAGCACATATGACACAAGGGTCCCAGTCCTCTTTTCTGCCTCACAGCACATTCTGCCCTCCTGCCTCTAGTTTTCAAGAAACCACTTTTAAACCAGATGATCAAGGTTACCTCACACACCCATTTTACAAGTGACCAAAAGAAAGGGGTCTAACAACGAAAACCTGCCACCAAACCTTCCCCATCGCTCCCCTGCGGCACGTCTTTAAATATTTTAATGAGATAATTGGGGTAAAATTCGCATAACATAAGCTTCACCATTTAACCATTTTGAAGTGTACTCTCCGTGGTCTTTAGTAAATTCACGTTATTGTGCAACTATCATCACTATCTCCTGCATTTAACACAAAAGAGTTCATCTCCGAAAAAAGAAGTGGGTAGAGATGACCTCAAAGGGAGACGCTGGAGTCACACAAGTGACCTTGAGCCGGTCACTTAAGTTCTCCATGACTCCGTTTCCTCATCCGTAACACGGGGGGGGGGGGGGGGGGGGGGGGGGGGGGGGGGGATGATATAACTAGATCAAGGGGCTTCAGCAATATTCCAGAGAAAACATGTGCAGTGCCAGCTGCAGAGTGCCTGCCCGACGGCGAGCGCTCACTGAGGGGACCCGTGGTTACTACCGCGGAAGGGAGCCCACCCGCGCCCGGCCAGGGCACTCACGCGGCGCAACGCGCAGGATGCAGGCCCGCGTGCGGCGCAGCACGTTGGGGATGCCCTTGCTGAAGTAGTGCGGGAAGGCGCGCTGCTCGAAGGGCGACAAGCTGTAGGTGATCACATGCCGCATCCGTATCAGATTCCCGAACTCGCGGCCCATGGTGGCGGTGGCGGCGGCGGCGCCTGCAGAACCGAGGGAGCTCAGCCGCCGGGCTCAGCCCCGGGACGCCGCCCCCAACCCTGCGGCCCGCCCGGCGCTCCTCATCCCCTCAGCCCAGGCGGCGCCCCACCCTCCCCGGGGCCACCAAGACCGCGCCACCGGCCCCGGCTCCCGCAGCAGGGTCACCTCGCCCTCCACAACCGCGGGATCCACCGGCCTCCGTCCGCCACTTCCGGCAAGATCGGAAGCCGCTCTGGAGGCCGTGAGGTCACTTCCGGGAAGTACCATTCTCCTGCGGTCTCCAGGGGAAGGCGCCGTTGTCCCCCGTTCTGAAGAGAAGTGTCCAGGCCGGTGACCTTGCCGGTGGGCGGTCTTGGGCCGGGGGCGGGGCCTGGCGGCGGCGGAGAAGCTCTGAGCGGGTTTGGGGTCGGGGCGGCCCCCGAGGCCCTCACCTTCCGCCTCAGCCCTCTGCCTTGTCCTGGAGCCGCAGGAAGGGGCTGGTGTCGAGGAGACAAAGAGGCGACGAGAAAGGGGCCAGCCGACCTCCAGGGCCGCGCTGGCCGAACGCGTAGGGCCTGCAGGCCGCCAGCCCTGGAGAGGGCCCCCGAGGCCTGGGGAGGAGCCGCCGGCCGGCCGCGAGCGCGAGCTTTCGTCCGGGCTTGTCCAGCTGCTGGGACGGGGCTCGGTTATTTTCAGACCGTCCGCGACCCAGTGCAAAGTCAGGGGCGCGCATCTGGGGCTTCCCGCGGCGCCCGCCGCCTTCGACTCCCGGGGCAGGGGGTAGACTTTACCAAGATGGAGTAAAACGTTTCCTCGAATTCAGTCACGAGCGTCCTCACATAATCGTCAGCGATTGCTAAACGGCTGTTAGGGGTGGTAGGAGGGAAGGAAGAGGCTCCCTCCACGGCAGCCCGCTTTCCCCGAGATGGTTCGGCCTGGGGGTCGTGTGTCATGATGTCCCCCATCCTCCGCTCCACTTCCCGGGAGAGAGGGGAGGAAGGTTGCGTGGGAGGCGACCCCGAGTTCTCGGGAAGTGCTTTTACCTAAGGTTCCTGCAGTCCTGTACCGCTGACTGACTTTTTCACTTGCTACAGAGTGTCTGTAAATGTTCTATTCAGGGAGCTGCTGGCCGTGTATAATCCAGGTCTAAGCTCTCATTCAGCAGGTTGGGTGTGTTTCATAAGCCTGCTTACTAACCACGGGCCAGGGAGGCTTGGCAGGCAGTGAATTTAAAATCTGCAAACATACCTCGGTTTTACCAACCTAGGTACAGCACAGACTGATTCTGGGTCTTATCCCATGCGTGTGGGTTGACTTTCTTCCTGCAAATAGTCTCCTTAGGGGTGGCACTGGATATCCCCTCATTTCAGCTATTCATGGTGCACCTTTGTCTCATTTTTCTAAAAAAATCTCTAGCTTGGTCCCAGCTCCAAGGCAAAAACATACATACTCAACAGTTAGGAACAACAATACGCTACAAATTCCGCCACCGTGTGAGTGATTAATAAAAAAAATAAAACTTTCGTTTATTTTCTCGTATCTCTAAACCTTTCGACCAAAGTACGTGTAGATGAATGTGCAGAGCAAACAAAAGACATCAAGATGTTATATACATGTTTTTAGGTGAGGAACATTGGCCCTGAGCTAACATCTGTTGCCAATCTTCCTCTTTTTTATTTCCTCCCCGAAGCCTCAGCACATAGTTGTATATCCTAATTGTAGGTTGTTCTAATTCTTCCATGTGGGATGCTGCCACAGCATGGCTTGATGAGTGGTACATATGTCCACGTGCAGGATCCCAACCAGTGAACCCCGGGGGGGCCACTGAAGCTGAGTGCCCTAACTTAACCACTGGGCCACAGGCCGGTCCCAAGATACTATATTTTAAAATGAGTCAAAGTTAAAGGTGATGTCCTCCTTTTTTAAACATATTGCAGTATTCCAAGTACATATCCTATACTACATGACCTGGGTGAACTGGGTAACAATTCTCTGCTCTGAAATTTCAATGCCAGCTGTGACTTTCTCTCACCCTCCAAATCAACACGTAGTGAATAATTATTCTAAGCACCTGGAAGTGGGAGAAGTGGTGAGGATGGAGAGGAAGAGTAAACCCAATATCGTAAATTGCATACCAACAGATCCGTGTATCATCATGAATAATTAGTTAGCTTTTCCACACACCTTGACAGTTTCAGCAAGCACCTAAAGAACGTTTTAAGAATCCTGATTTCTCTCAGAAAACGGGTGGTTTCATTTTAAGATCATTCCTCAGTTTCACTTAGCCTTTCAGCTACATAGCTAGTCCATTAGTATAATGATAATTTAAGAGGTTTTAAATACATGCCAGGAAAAAGTGAGAGGAAAGTTAATTAACCAAATAAATCCATATCTAATGAGGACAAATTGGATAAATAGAGTGTTATCAGCTGTTTAATATACAGCTGAGAAAAATTACCTTCAGCTAGGCATCCTTGAGGTCTGATTACAGAAGTGAGCCTACCCCACCCACTCACCTAAATTTTATTTAAGAGACCAACCTAGGCTCTTCCTGGCTTTTAGGAAGAAGGCTGGCATGGGGAAATGTGTTCCTTGCTGATTCTTCCAAGCCATGGCGCTTCCCAGCAAGTTCTTCCTCTGGTTTTGCTGCTCTGCCTGGCTGTGTTTTCCCATTAGCCTTGGTTCTCAGGCTTCTAGGGAAGCAGCTCAGATTGCAGCTAGTGCTGAGTTGGAATCTGAGGCTGAGCCTTGGTCCTTGCTGCAGCCTCTCAATGGCGGAAACAGATCTGGCCTCCTTCCTGCTCTCTTCAAGGTTCTGTATGACGGGCAAGGCGGGGCTCCTAGGCTGCAGCCAGACTCCAGAGCTTTACGCTACATGAAGAGGCTCTACAAGGCGTATGCTACCAAGGAGGGGATCCCTAAATCCAACAGAGGCCACCTCTACAACACTGTCCGGCTCTTCACCCCCTGTGCCCAGCACAAGCAGGCTCCTGGGGACCAGGTGGCAGGTGTGTAGGAGCGGATTGGTTAATGGGTGGGAAGATGATAGACGACTCTGCCTTTCAATTGCAGAAAGCTGCCGGGCCTCACTCCTTGCATTGCATTTTACTTTGTGTGATACTCAGTATCCAAATTCAAACAAATCTGGTTCTTGATCTTACCGTTTCTTCCTAATGCCCTCATGCGTTAAGGTGGGCTAATGTGATAGGATTTTAGAGCTAGAAAAGACTTAATGACTTAAAGGAAAGCACTAGTGGAGAAGGTTAGCATCTTGTCCAAGGTCACAAAATCAAGACTGGAAACCAGGTATTTTGACTTCCAGTTGCTTAGTCTGCCCATTCTACCAATGCTGGCCTGGAAATGTGCCTAAAATATCTCATAGCTATTGGTGTGCTTTGTTAAACAGGATGTTTTCCCTTTTTATGTTGCTTTTGTGAGAGGAACAGTAGGTACTTACACAAACTGTTAACAATTTGACTCAGCACCTTGGTATCTTGTGTGTGTGTGCGTGTGTGTGTGTGTGTGAGAGAGAGAGAGAGAGAGAGAAAGCAGCGCTTTAAAAAAAAAATCTATATTCACCAGCTCGTGACTTAAAGAAAATCGTTCTAACCCAACAGGTCACTTGTGGCTGTTTAAAACGTTTCCTCCTTCCTTGATGTCCCATTTTATTATAGTGGTTTTAGAGCCTCCATTTGTCAGTCTCAAGTGTTTCAAATTAACTTAGACCATTAAGTTTTCTTTATTGACTCCATCCATTAGGGCTTAGCATGTCTTCTTAACAAGCCTGTTAAGTATTTTTATTATAGGTTTGCCTCTAGAGACTCTCCAAGAGAAAAATACCACTTTCCTTATTAGCTTCTGTGTTTGGAGCAAATTATTCACTCTAAAACTTTAGAATATAATGATTCCTTGTTGTTTTAATTCACCACCAAAGCTATTATGATTTTCTGGTGATTAAAATATCCTGTTGTAGTTGCTGGGAGTTAGTTATGGTCCCAATTACTGGCATTTTCTGTGTAACTGCGTGCTCCCTCCTCCACACCCCCCCCCCCACCACCCTTTTGAGGCATGAGGAAGTGGGAAAAGAGAAGGGAGAAAGCACATACAAAGTACTAATGTCTTGATTTGACTTCCTATTATGTTCAGTTTGTATTCAAGCACTACTGGTGGACTGTGTTTTCTTCTCAGGAACCCTTCCGTCAGTGGACCTGCTGTTTAACCTGGATTGTGTTACTGCTGTGGAACACTTACTCAAGTCAGTCTTGTTATACACATTCAACAACTCAGTTTCTTTTCCCTCTGCTGTTAAATGTGTGTGCAACCTGGTGATAAAAGAGCCAGAGAGCAAGACTCTCCCCGGAACTCCATACTCATTTACCTTTAACTCACAGTTTGAATTTAGAAAAAAATACAAATGGATTGAGATGGATGTGACCCCTCTCCTTCAGCCTCTAGTGGCCTCCAACAAGAAAAGTATCCACATGTCTGTAAATCTCACATGTGGGAAAGACCAGCTGCAGCATCCGTCAGCACAGGACAGTCCGCTTAACACGACTCTTCTGCTATTCCCCTCACTGCTTTTATATCTGAATGACACAAGTGCTCAGGCTTATCACAGGTGGCATTCCCTCCACTATAAAAGGAGACCTTCACAGGGTCCTGACCAGAAGAGAGATCTGTCTGCCTGTCCAGAGGGAGAAGGGGCTGCTGAGGGTATAACATCTTCCCGTCACCGGAGAAGTCAGGAAGCTGTCAGCTCTGAATTGAAGAAGCCTCTGGTTCCAGCTTCTTTGAATCTGAGTGAGTACTTCAAACAGTTTCTTTTTCCCCAAAATGAGTGTGAGCTCCATGACTTTAGACTTAGCTTTAGTCAGCTGAAGTGGGACAACTGGATTGTGGCCCCGCAAAGATACAACCCTCGGTACTGTAAAGGGGACTGTCCCAGGGCAGTTGGGCATCGGTATGGCTCTCCAGTTCACACCATGGTGCAGAACATCATCCATGAGAAGCTCGACTCCTCAGTGCCAAGACCATCATGTGTACCTGCCAAATACAGCCCTTTGAGTGTTTTGACCATTGAGTCCGATGGCTCAATCACTTATAAAGAATATGAAGATATGATAGCCACTAAGTGCACCTGCCGTTAACACATGGTCCTCTAGACTAACATCTTGAGCCTGTTTGGCAAAGTAAATGCCCTTCGCCTATCTGCGCCTTCAGGAGAAAGCATCATGTGTCAGACCTGTAAATATAATGCCGTGTGTGTTGTGTAAGGAGGAGCCTGTGTGGATTAGCACATTCTGTGGCATCTATCAGTGTAAAGCAATAACATCTGCCTTTTTAATTTCTAAGTGTAAATATAATGTAATTCTTTTGGAGAGCTTTAAATTTTTTCCCTGAGCGATTTTTTTTTTCTTTTCATAGGAGTCTTGTTTTTGATGTAAGAAAAAGTGCTGTAGTCTTGTTTAATGGAAGAATAAATTCTTGTCAGAGGCATAAATTCCCCATGTGTGTGGTTTTTTTAATTAAATGATTGCTTTTAAATGGTCATTTGGGCGGGAGAGGAAGTGTGTCTAAAAGCTAATCTTGGCTCAACTTTTGATCTCTTTTTCAGAGTAAAAGAGAGGGTAACTTCTGGTCCTGAATCCTGATGAAGTGAGATTCCCTAGGGCTAGAGAGTTTGCAACATAATCCATTTCTGTTGTAGCACATGTAGTATGTAGAAATGTAGTACAGTGTACCAACTCTGCTCTTAGATGGCCTCTATACGTCAATTGATTACATCAAACAATGTAACATTTGTCCCATTTATTTATAGGAAATTGCCTTGCAGATTTTTCCAAGAAAATGCAATGTTCAAGATTTTTTAAATGCATTTTCTCTTTTGTATGTTTAAAACCTCTGACCCTATGGAAGGAAGTCAAGGAACGTTTTTTCTTTGTTTCTTTTGTTTATTTGTTTGCCAATTTCCCTCGACTAGTTCCCCTCACTCCACTCCCACAGATTTTTTTCCAGGTGGATTTAGGACTGTTCCCATTAAAGCTGGCAGCAAGGAGGTTATATTACAGAGCAGGCCTTGTTTGGCTGTGAGGGCTTTTATGTGGATTTTTCAATAAATCGACCTCGAGAGAGAGTCTTTGGGGCACAGAGTTAGGGCTGACGCAGTGATTTCTGTTTGTTTCTAAAACGCTAATCTACAAACCAAAAGTGACTCCTAGATGCTAGAAGTAATTTTCATTCTTGTAAATGATCTTTTGTTAGTGCCTAATGTCTAAAGCAGCCAGCTGGGATTTTGACAGGGATTGTGTTGAATCTATAGATGGGTTTGGGGAGTATTCCCATCTGAACAATGTTAAGTCTTCCAATCCATGAACGTGGGATGTTTTTCCATTTACTTAGATCTTTCATTTCTTTCAACAATGTTCTGTAGTTTGAGTATATGTTTTGTACTTTTTATTAAATATTTCTAAGTATTTTATTTTCGATGCTATTGTGAATGGAATTATTTTCTTAATTTCATTTTCAGATTCTTTCCTGGTGCTAACATACACATGACAAACCTGCACACGCTGACATAAATGCTCAGTTATCGGCTCTTGGTTCTTTCCTCTCAAAAACATTTTTCAGAAAAGTGGGACTGAAACAGAGTTTTAGGTGGCCTAGTTTTCAAATAACTTTGCCATCCTTAACTTGGAGTCACTGCTCTTTTTGTAAATGAGGCTGCAAGTCTAAGAGAAATGGTGTTTCAAGAGTTTCGTTAGCTTCTGTCATTCTTAGGAGTAAAAAGTATCTAGAAGGGACAGGGCATGAGTAATGGTGGCAGTGTACAACTAAACTTAGAGGAAGGTAAATCTCCCTTAAATACGGCTGTTTTCAAATAGACTGCGTGGAATATATATCAACTTAAAGGATTCCTCATAGTTCCCCGATTACCCTAAACTGATTTTTTTTTTTTTCTGGAACAAGGGAATTTGTCTTATTTTTATTTTTTTTTCATGGCCTAGTTCTGTGAGTATAGAATGTGGTCTGCAATCTGAAGGTTTTGGAAAGAAGAAACTGAAGGGGTAGTTCTGACAGAAGTTAAGTATTAGGGTCAATGCCAAAACTAGGAGCAGAAAAAATAGCTCCTTCTTACAGGTAAGTTCTAAAACTGACAGACTTGTTCATAGGGTTTTGATGCTACAGCTGAGTAATCATAGCTTGAAGAACTATAAGCCTGGCTTCTGAATTTTTTCAGGCTTAATTTGTAAATCTAGTTTCATTCATAGGGCAGTGTTAATATTCAGGGTTGATACATCTGCTAACGGTAAACTTCAAAGATTCTCTTCTACACAACTGAGGAGGATATACTAGTCTCCCAGCTGCCTCCTCCATAGGAAACCTGTTTTTCTTCAGTTACTCTTTCTTATAAAAGCCGCCACTTTAGAAAATAAATGAGAAAGGACAACAGTGATTTCAATCTGGAAATTCAAGGATGAGGCTACCTCTGCCTTCAATAGCTGCCTTCAGGTTTGGCATTTAGTCCAGATGAGATATGAGGTCACCTAATGTGATGAGTGCCTTAGTACGCCAGGGAACAATGGGGCGTGTGAGGGGCTGGTTTTACCTCCAGCTCTGAGTTTCCTGCTCTTTATCCGTTTAAATCAACTCCTGTGTTTCGTTGGTTGAATACTTTGTGTTTTACTAATCAGCTTCAAGGGCAGCAGCCGCTTGACCTGGTTTAGAGCTAGTTTAGACAGCTTGTGGGAAAAATTAAGTTGCTCTTTCATGGAGTAAACGAGGAAGTATTCAGTTATATAAGTGATCAAAGAAAAAGGCTCAGAAAAACTTCGTTTATATCAAAATTTTAAGTAGTCAATTTTGATTTGTAATTTTGAAGGGATTGTAACTTTTATAAAATGATAAAGTGAAATTAAAACATTTAAAATATTTTTTAGAGGATGTCAGTCCCCAAAACATTTCTTAGTTATCTGGATTAGCTGAATGGATTGATACGATAGAATAGTATGCTGTTTTATCCATTAACTCTTCTCTAAATAGAAGGAAAAATAAACACAACCAGGAGATTCAGACGCTTCATCCTCTACCAGAATCAACAAGTCGAGTAGGTTCTCTTCATGTGCTTAATTACTTCCTGATGCAGCTGGCCTTCCCAAACCGCAGACTGACTAGTCAATTTTTGGAAGGGGCTTTGATTTGTTAGTAAGCCCAGGACTATTTGAGTGTCCATGTAAAGAACAGGATTCTATAGATGGCCTGACAGAGTATTTCTTCGTCCTACCTTACATGTAATGCAATTTGTATGGAATAATTGAGTAATTAGATCTATATGGATAAGGGTCAACTGTACATTTTAGGCATCTTATTGTTTAAGAATAAGTGCTTTGTGAACGATTTACAGAGTCGTTTATAGACCTGTCTTGGTGCTGGTGTCTTTCCACATTGGAATGCTATGACAGGCAGTGTTATGAATTTGCAGCCTGTGCCTGGATGTCATTTTGGTTTTCTCAGAAATAATTAGCTCACTGAATAAATATTTATTGAACACTGACTATGGGCCAGGTGCTATGTGTGGTTAAGAACAGAGTCTGATGTTCTCAGCTCCAGGAAAAATGTCACCTACCAGAAATGGAGACTTCCTTTATTACCCTAAGTTCCATCAGTGAGTATTTGTCACCACAGAACATTCTTGGGGTGGTACTACATAAGCAGACTGCGTGAATATGACATTTTCTTTAGATTAGAATTTTTTAAATTAAACAATTTTAAGATAATGTAGATTCACATGCAATTGTAAGAAATAAGAGGTCCATGTATTTTTTATCCAGTTCGCTCAGTGATAACATCTTACAAAACCATAGCATACTATCACAACTAGGATATTGACATCGAAACAACAGATTAGAATTTTTCACCTCGAAACCTACTTGGGTCAAAGGAAGTGTTGATCCTAACATCAATAAGGTTTTGATATCTCCTGATGGAATTTGCTTAATGGTTCAATATTTTTTCATCTTATACCACTTCACCATTATCCTTGAGCCCTTTCAATTACAATTCTATTAATTCAATAAATATTTGGGCACATACTAGATCTCAGATACTCTTCTAGATGCTAGTATAATAGTGGTAAATGAGACAGACTATGGCACTTGCTCTCATGGAGCTTATATAACAGAGCGGAGAGACAGGCAATAAACAATTAAACAACATGAGCAGCCATATACAGGAACCTCTAGGCAGAACAAACTGAGGTGAGAGCAAACTTGTATTCTAAGAACAGAAAGGACTGGGTGTGCCTGGCAAGTGGGAAAGGAGAAGGAATGAGTGAAGTGGCAAGTGGGGTGGGAGGAGATGAAGTTAACCAAGCAGACAGATGAAATGATACAAAATTTCTTGGCCAGCACAAGGGCATTGGGTTTTTATGCCAAATTCAGTAGGAAGCCGTTGAGAATGTTTAACAAGGGGCCTGAAATGATTAGATTCATTTTTTTAAATCATTTTAAGTGTTCTTTGTAGAGTTTTTTAGAAGAGACTAGCCTGAAGCAGGGTGACCTTTTAGGTTTTGGGGGCTATCATCATGGTCCAGGTGAGAGATGATGCTGGCTTGGATTGTGGCAGTGGAGATGGGGATGCAAAGAAGCAAAAACTTGGAATTTATTTTTGTGGCTTCTCTCTTTGTTGTTTGGCCTTTCTCTCTGAGGTTGTAGGATGGCGACCTTCTAGTAAGAGAAGAAACTTACTCCTTATGGTGAAATAAAAGGATAAAAACTTATCCTGTTACCTGAGGTGCTTCCTAATTATAATTTTTCTTGGTTCTGTTTTCTTCTTGCATTATTTCTTAAAAGGTTTGTTTCTCTTTGTTTTGGTCTTTGCCTTTCATGTTCGAGGCTTTTCTAAAATGCGTTTTGTTGTCCATTTATAAGTGTACGGCCCTAGAAAGCTGTTGGAAGCTCTGAATGAAAAGGTGGGATGTGTTAATTAATGAGCTCTTTGATTTGAGGCTCCTATCAGTTTCCATGGTTTCTCCACAGAAGAATTATCGAATCTTCTGGTGGGAGGAAGATATACACTTACCTGCTGGTTTTAGAGCCCAGGAATTTAAGGGGCTTTCACCTAATCCCTTTTAATCCCAATACAGCACCTCTTCCCCCAACCTCCACCATGCCTGGAGTTCACTTGTCTGGAACCTCTTTGATTCAACTCTTCACAGAATCAATCCCCTGTCTCCAGCTGGGTTGGAGGAGGGTAGTTGCCTAGCTGCTTGGGATGGGGAGCTATACGTTGGGGTCCAATTGTTCCATCTACAGACTCAGCCAATACTCACTTACAGTCGTTGCTGGCACCACTGCCTTCCATGGTACCTGGCATCTTCATTTCCTGAGCTTTCCGGGGATTCTGTGGTATGACTCAGCAAACTACTCACTGACATCCCTACCCCCAGCAGGTTTAAGTTTCCTTTTTAATTAGCTCTGCTTACTCTTCCAGACAATTTCCAGCTTCCAAAACTTTATTCACACTGGTGTGCTATGCTCTCATCTGTTCTTTGCCCTTATGTGGGTGTATTTGACATTCACTTGTTCTGGTGTTAATGGGAGGGAGTAGAGATAAGTGCATGTGTTCAGTTCTCCAAGTGAAAAAGAGGTACTTGTTTAAGCACCATGTAAAGTCCTTGTTCACACCTCTTCTTAGAGAAAATGGATAAGAAAAGTCCACAGCAAATTGTAATCCTTTTGTGACTTGCAAAGAATTTCTACACGTCTTCTATTTGATGGCGTCCTTAAACTTCTCCATCTCATCCTTGTTAGGTCAGTTTTGGGTAAGGAAAGCAGAAGTATTTGTAAGGCAGGAGAACATCCAATATTTAGACTGCATACCACATTTAACATAAAAAAAGTACCTCGCTAGAGGAGGTCCCGTGGTGGGTGATTAAGTTCGAGTGCTCTGCTGGGGTTTGTGGCCTGGATCCCAGTGGAGACCTACACACTGCTCATTAGGCCATGCTGTGGCAGTGTCCCATGTACAAAACAGAGGAAAATTGGCACAGATGTTAGCTCACCAAAAACAGAAGCAAAAAAAAGTACCTCACTAGATAGAATCGACTAGCAGGATCAAGCAACTTGCCAATAAGTAACCCGAGTTTTGCTGAAATGTAGGAAAACTGAGCTCAATTGTACCTTTAGAGAAGGGAAAAACAGACTTAACAGTCTATTAAAGTCAAAATAAAGGTTAATGTGCACAGCTTCCATTGCATCATTTCCCAGGAAAATTTGTGCTGTGAACTTTGCAAACCATTGCATGATTGGAGAAGAAAGTGATCAGGATCACAAATGTTCATTGTGCTCATGCCCTTGACCGTTACCAGTTTGCGAA